GGTTTTTCAGTTATGTTGACCTAGGCTGAGATAACCTGAAACAATGGACACCCTTCATAGCGACCCTTATTCCAGGAGCAGCTTGCAACTACAAGTTAGGGATGGCTCCATGTCCTTTGAGAACAACAGCACAGTTTTGGATAAGCATGAGGTTGTCAGCCCTCGAGTTGGCATGACCTTTGAGACGGTTGATCTGGCATATCAATTCTACCTAGAGTATGGCTATCGTGCAGGCTTTGGGGTCTCAAAGAGGACTTCCCACAGTGTTGATGGGGTTAAATACCGTGCTACATTTGTTTGTTACAAAGGTGGCATTGCTAGGATTAAGCCTGGCCTCAAAGCTCGAAGGAGGCTTGTTGCAAAGACTGGTTGCAAAGCAATGATGGTAGTGAAGTTTAATGCCAATGAGAACCATTGGGAAGTGGTTTTTGTTGAGTTGGAACATAACCACCCATGCAATCCTGAGATGGTCAGATTCATGATGTGCTTTAAAGATCTTCCTGACTGGCAAAGGGAGCACCGCCCATTCAATGCCAAAACTCGATTGAACCCGAAGATTCACTCTGGTAGAGGCAGGCCACCCAACCAAAACAAAGATTTCATGGTGAAATCCTTCTCCCAGTCAAATTATTCCATTGATGGGGCAGGGAAGACTGGAAAGTTGAGGTTTGCAGAGGGTGATGTTGAGGCACTCTTAGTTTTCTTTGATAAGATGCAAGCTCAAAACTCCAACTTCTTCTACAACTGGGACATGGATGATGAAGGTCGGCTCAAGAATGTTTGCTGGGTTGATGCTAGATCCAGAGTTGCATATCAACACTTTTGTGATGTTATTTGCTTTGATACTGTCTATTTGACATATCAGTTTGTCATTCCATTGGTCGCGTTTCTGGGAATCAACCATCATGGGCAGTTTGTGTTGTTAGGATGTGGTCTACTTGGGGACGAGTCTCCAGAGACTTTTGCATGGTTATTCAAAAAATGGCTAAAATGTATGAATGATAAAGCACCGGAAGCAGTTGTTACGACTCATTCAAGGCCAGTAGTCAAAGCTGTCACTGAAGTATTTCAAAATACTCGGCACAGATACAACCTTTGGCATATAATGAAAGAACTTCCTGAAATGTCTGGAAGAGTTGAGGATAAAGAAGCAGTCAGTCTGAGAATGAAAAAAGTAGTCTATGATACAATTACATCAGCTGATTTTGAGAGGGAGTGGGTTGAAATGATCATTCAATATAATCTTCATGATAACCAGTGGCTTACAACCTTGTTTGAAGAGAGGGCAAAATGGGTACCAGCATATGTAAAGGATACTTTCTGGGCTGGTATCTCCACTGTTCGTCGTAGTGAACGATTGGAGGCCTTTTTTGATGGATATATTACACCAGAAACCACAATAAAGACGTTCATTGAACAATTCGATACTGCTATGAAGCTCAGGTCTGATCGAGAAGCCTATGATGATTTCCGTTCATTTCAACAAAGGCCACAAGTCCTGTCTGGTCTTCTGTTTGAGGAGCAATTTGCAAATGTTTATACAATAAATATGTTCCAGAAATTCCAGGATCAGTTGAAGCAGCTGATGAATGTGAATTGCACTGAAATCAGTAGGAATGGCTCAATAGTGACATACACGGTAACAGTAATTGGAAAGGAGAGGAAGTTTGACTACAGAGTGATGTATAACAGTGCTGAGAAAGAAGTGTGGTGCATCTGTAGGTCATTCCAGTTTAAAGGTATTTTGTGTAGCCATGCTCTTGCTGTCTTGAAGCAAGAGCTTGTGATGCTAATACCTCCCAAATATATTCTTGATCGATGGCGGAAGGACTACAAATGCCCTGAGGAACCTAAGGAAACCCCCATTTCACCGAAAGCTGCAAAAGATACAGGTAAGGGCTCAAACCCAGAAAACATTCGGGAAGATCAAGCGGACAATCTCTACAAGCATGGACACCAGTACTTTGCTGACATTGTGGAAATGGGAGCTACTGACCCTGATGCGATGGAGTATGTCCTTTCTGTGATGAAAGAAGCTAAGGAGAAAGTGCGCAAGTTTGAGGAGTCTCGAAAAGAGAAAAGGCCTGGAGAGAGTCCAGTTTCTGCTGGTAAAAAAAGTGCAAAGTTTCCGAAGCCATCCACAGAAGTTGGCAATGGAACATCAGTTTCAACTCCGACGGCAGCAGTGGCTTCAGTCACAGTGGTGTCATCTGCTCCAATGGTGGCAGCCCCAACAGTGATTGCTATGGCGCCACCTTCAGCAGCTGTGGCCCCAGGAATGATTTTAGTACCAATGCACCCACATCCCTTGGTGTTCCCGCCCTTCCCACCTGCAGTTCCACCAGCAGTAGCTCCTGTAGCCCCACCTGCTGCACCAGCAACCAGTGTTGCCCCCAACACCTCAAAGAAACGAAAGAAAAGAAAGGGGAATAATTGATCTTCTGATGCTGTTGAAGTGATGAGTAAGCTGCCTTTTGCATATTGCTCCAATTGTATTGTGTCAAGATTAATGCTTCCTGGAATTTGTTGTTTTTTATACCTAATATAGATGTGTTGTTCCAGATCTAAAACAAGATATGATCGGTGAAGTTCAAAAAAGAGTTTGATCCCATACTATGCATCAGGCCTTCACATGAGTGAGCTATTGATTTATCTCTTCTGCGGGTTGGTCTTTCGAGGAAACTCTGCTCTGCGGGTTGTGCTGCCCATGAGACTGCCTACTGCATATTCCTGGGATGTTGGCTTCAGCTTAGATGCTGCTGCGGCTGAGGCAGTTCAGTCTACGGTAATATTGCGTTCAAAAGATGCAGCAAACAGGCATGCATTTGGCCTGGGCATACTGATCTCAATTAGTGTAGATTACTATATTAGATTGCATGTAGTGTACATTATCGTCCTCAGTGCCCAAAGTAATCTAACATGTAGTCCAGTTTATGAATGTAAAGATCTGTTTATGATTATGGATTGCATTTATGGGGAAGGATATGGATCTTATTGAGAACTATGAAGTACAAGCATTTGCAGTCGTTTGAGTTTTCAAAAGGTCAGTCCTATTGGATTACACTCCTTCCATTTGGCAATTTTTGTCTATTGTCTCGGTAGAATATATCTCAATGTTTTGTCTCCATTGAAGACATTATAAGGGAGTATACATTGTAAATTTTTTGACTCACATATAAACTAAATGCTTTGAAAGTATGGACCTGTAGCTACGATCGAGTAGTGTTACTGCCTCTTTTCCTTTCCCAGCCCGATAAGAGTTGCTGTTGGCAAGCCATGCGTTCATGGTGGTTTTGTCTTGCCTTTATCCGCTTCTACTTCTGGAGAGACGAGACCGGCGGTGGTTCCATTCCTCTGTTCCGGGCATCGACGTCATCCGTGGGGAGATGGGCAAATGTGAAATGTGCTACACAAGTGATAGCACGACGAGCAGGCACGGACATCTGACATCTCGAAGGCCCAAAGAATTCGAAGTCGCGACGCGAACGCGACCCTCCCTCCTTTCCCAGTCAAGAGTCAAGACGCCGACGCCGACGCCGAACCCAAACCGCCCCGCGCCCCATCATCCCCAGCGCCGCGTGTCGCGCTCCTCCTCCCGCCGCGTGCCCGCGCGCTCGGCACACGTCAGTCAGGGCCCCCAGACGGCCTGACCCGCAACCGCCACCTCCAAACTACAACCACGCTCCCCAGCCCGCCGGACTATCCCGGCTCCCACTACTTAATTCTGAGCCGGGTCCCTCGTCCACGGCGTGCGCTAAGCTAGCTACCGCGCGATCGCCATGCGGCTCTACGTGTACATGCTCGAGGCGCGCGATCTCCCGGCGCCGTGCTGTTCTACGCGAAGGTGACGGTGGGAAAGCAGCGGTTCCGGACGCGGGCGGTGGAGGCGGCGGAGCTGCGACGGCGGCGTGGAACGAGGAGTTCGTGTTCGCGGTGGGGGCGGCGGACGGAGCTGCTGGGGACGAGGAGGAGTTCGAGGTCGCCGTGGCGTGGCGGCGGCGGGGAGGGAGCGGGAGGGAGGTGGTGGGCACGGTCAGGCTGCCCGTGCCGCCCGCCACCGCTGCTGCTGCCCCGGGGGAGAGGCGGTCCGTGCCGCCGACGTGGTTCACGCTGCAGCTGCCGCCCGAGGGCGGAGGCGGACGGCGGAAGGGCGGAGGCGTCGTCGACGGCGGCGGCGGCGACGAAGCCGCGGCAGATTGCGGTGGGTGCACAAGTTTGCTTTCGCGAGCATGATACGGTTGACGTTTAATTTCTGCCATGCTTATGCGTTGCTCGATCGTTCTGGTCGGCGCGCGCGGCAGGCTTTTGGACGAAGCCACCGCGCGTCTTTGCCAATTGCTGCACGCAAGTGCAGCGTAGCGCTCGGATTCCCTCATGCCGCTGTCAGGCGTAAACTTCCGTAACCGTGAGTCATTAGCAAGTACGGAGTCGGTCGCATACGTGTGTGGTAATTAGTTAACCGAGATGCTTACGGAACAGCAGACTGTAAACTGATGGAATGCTGATCCTAGTCCTGTGGCTAGGGATGCTTCTGCTATAAACTAGTGTCTGTCGGAAAGCATGCCCAGGATTGACCACTTTTAACTTGGGATCGAAATGCTAGTGACGGATGGTACGTTTTAGTTTTATAACAGCATTAGTATGTACCTGAACCGTAGATATGATCCAATTTCAGGTCCCGTACAATTCAAGACAACTTTAGGTTTCAGATGTCGCAAAAAAAAAAGGTTTCAGATGTTCAGTATATGCTATTATATTTCTTTCTTCAGTTAAGGACTGCTTACCCTGTCAGATTCTTTAAAAAAAAGGTTTAAGGAATGCTTAGTCATGGTTATACTGGGCACACTTTAGAGCCATATAGATTATATGATGATTACACTTTCCATTACTTCACACGAATGGTCTATCCGTAATGATTTTATTCGTATTGCTTTCAGCCAGAGAAAATTCTCCTCAGCTTTTCACTTTATGGAGAAAACAATGACAATTCTGTCGTCCACATGTCCCCTTCTTCGAGCTCCAGAAGCTACACCGATGCCGAAGTGGAGAGATCACTTGATATGGAACATTCAAGTTCTAATGGTGGGGTGGTTGATTCTCCCAGGAGCCATGACACAGAGCGGACTTCTCTAGATAACTCTGACCATTTCATACAAGAAGATTCCAATTCAATTACTGAAGTTGATGACCTAGCAGAGACTAGTACGGCAACAGCAAATGGTGCGAGTGACACCGAACATATGGCTCCAGATGCTAGCTTTGAACAAGCTATGGAGATCATGAAATCTAGAAGCACACCAGAAATGCCAGAAGATCTTGACAGCGGCATCATATTTGAGCACACTTACCTTGTGGAGTCAAAAGAACTGAACTATCTTCTGTTCAAACCTGATTCTCAGTTCTTGAAAGATCTGCGTGAGCTTCAAGGTACCATAGACTATGAGGAGCAGCCGTGGACATGGAAGAGCATGGATCCTCCTAGCTTAACTAGGACATGTCAATACACCAAAGGCGCATCAAAGTTTATGAAAGCTGTCAAGACGAGTGAGGAGCAGACATATCTTAAAGCAGATGGCAAGAATTTTATCATTATGACTCGTGTTCGTACTCCTGAAGTGCCCTTTGGGAACTGTTTTGCAGTTGTTTTGCTCTACAAGATAATCCACAGCACCGGGTTATCAGGAGGTGAAGAAAGCGCACATCTGACTGTATCATACAATGTAGAGTTCCTTCAGAGCACCATGATGAGAAGCATGATTGAGGGGAGTGTTCGAGACGGGTTGAAAGAAAATTTCGAAGGTTTTGCTGAAGTATTGTCTAGGCACGTCAAAATGACTGATTCTGTAGGGATGGATAAAGATCAGTTGCTGGCGCCATTACAGGTAGAACACCAGTCAGATATCAGGCTTGCTTACAAGTATTTTTGCAATTTAACTGCCATTTCAACGGTGCTATTTGCACTATATGTTCTTGTGCACATCTTTCTGTCAAAACCCGGCTCAATCATGGGCCTTGAGTTCAATGGTCTAGATCTACCTGACTCATTCGGAGAGCTGATCACAGCTGGCATACTAGTCCTTCAATTTCAGCGTTTACTGAATATGGTGTCTCATTTTGTAGAGGCAAGGTTACAGAGAGGTATGCTCTTCTCTTCAATTGTTGTTTTGTTTTCTCGTATACTATACATGCTTGATGGTTCAACTCTGTGATGTCATGAATGATACTTATCTGCCACCTTTCATGACAGGAAGTGATCATGGGGTTAAAGCAAATGGTGACGGTTGGCTGCTAACTGTAGCTCTTCTAGAAGCTACAAGCTTGCCACCCGTTTCATGTGGATCAGTTGACCCTTATGTTGTGTTCAGCTGTAATGGCATAACAAGAACAAGTTCTGTTCAACTTCAGACTCAGGAACCTCAATGGAACGGTGAGTAGATTTCACCTGCTAGCACGTTGCATTGCAGACCTATGATTAAGCTTGTAGTCTTATCTTTTTTTTTTTTTTTGATTTGATAAGTCGAGTGGGCGGGAGAGAGTCCCCCACCTGGATGATATATTGATGGTTGGCTCTTAAATAGCCAGAAGTTTATTTGAAGTTTTTTGTTAAGGTTTACATTGCGCTAGCTATTGTAGAGCACCACTTGTAGTCTTATCTGATGGAGACGGTTGCGACAGCGTGGAGTTCAGTGCAACCCCTTCCCTGCCCTGTGCAAACGCTGTCCCAGAAATTCAAAGCAACAGCTAGGGCCCTCCAAAGTTGGAGCCAAAAGAAGATTGGCCATATTACATCTCAGCTAGCCCTTGCAAAAGAAATCATCCATCAGTTTGATATTGCACAGGATAGCAGAACCCTCCAGTCTAATGAATTATGGTTGCGTAACAACCTCAAGAAACATGCCTTGGCCTTGACCTCGTTGTTGAGGACAGTGGCAAGGTTGAGATCTCGAATTGGATGGCTGAAAGAAGGGGACGCCAACACAAGGCTTTTTCACAGGCAGGCAAGACATAGAAAGAAGAAGAACTTTATTGCCAAGCTGAAGGATGGGGACAATATCCTCACCAATCATGAAGAGAAGGCTGCTGCAATCTTTGATTTTTACTCAAATTTGATTGGGGAGGACAGTGACAGGAGCAGAACAATTAATCTGGACAGTCTTGACATACCCAGGTATGATCTGGAGGCTCTGGATACCCCTTTTTCTGAAGAGGAGGTTTGGAACACTATTAAAAGTATGCCATCAGATAAAGCTCCGGGTCCTGATGGATTTACTGGAAAGTTTTATAAAACTTGTTGGGTGGTGATCAAGGGCGATCTCATGGCTGCCCTGCAGGCTGTCTGGGGAAAAAATTTCAGGAACCTCTGGATGCTAAATTCAGCATATATTACTTTAATCCCAAAGAAGACAGAGGTTGATCAAGTGAAGGATTTCAGGCCCATCAGTCTGGTTCACAGCTTCGCTAAGTTGGTGACTAAAATGCTTGCGAACAGATTGGCAAGTCACCTCGATCAGATGGTCTCCCCCAATCAAAGTGCCTTTATTAAAAAACGGTTCATACAAGATAACTTTATGTTGGTCCAGCAGATTGCGAGATTCTTGCACTCCCAAAAGCAGCCCAGAATACTACTTAAACTGGACATTACTAAGGCTTTTGATTCTGTATCTTGGTCATTCCTCTTGGAGGTTCTTGATAAAATGGGTTTTGGCTCGAGATGGCGTGATATTCTGTGTGGTCTATTGGTATCTTCTTCCACTCGGGTGCTCCTTAATGGTATCCCTGGAGATTTTATCCAACATAGAAGAGGACTTCGTCAAGGGGATCCCCTCTCTCCGATGCTTTTTATTCTGGTCATGGATGTTTTAAATTGGATGGTTACAAGGGCTTCTGAGGCAAGGCTGCTACAACCCCTATCTAGAAGACCAATTCAAAGATAGAATTTCCCTCTATGCGGATGATGTGGCCCTTTTTCTCGGGCCATCGGCAGCAGAGGACATCTCTCTCGACTCTAAGCATGCTCCAACTATTTGGGGATGCGTCGGGGCTCAAGACTAACGTTCGGAAGAGTAGTGTGATGCCAATTCGATTGCTCGGAGGATGATATGGCTATAATACAAAGCTTATCGCCTTGTGAAATTATGAATTTTCCATGCAAGTATTTGGGTTTGCCTTGTCTCTCAAGAAACTAACAAAGGAGCAATTCCACCAATAATTGATGTAATCATGGATCAATTACCGGGTTGGAAGGCGATTTGATGACACGGGCTGGTAGGGTAGTGCAAGTGCAATTTGTCTTGACAGCCATCTTGATCTATCTAGCCATGGCTATAGATCTACCTCCACGGGCAATTAAGGCCATTGATAAAATCAAGAGGGTTCGTGTGGAGAGGACGCAAGGAAGCAAAAGGTGGACATTGTCTCATCAGCGTGGCCCAAGGTTTGTCGAGCAAAGGAGCTAGGTGGGCTTGGGATTTCTGATCTGAAATCTCTATGTATTGCACTAAGAGTAAGATGGCCATGGCTCAAAAAGTCTGAACCTAATAAATCCTCAGGCAAGTTTGCCATCGCAAGTCGACAAGGATGCTGAATGCCTCCTCTCCCAGCCATTATTACTGAAATTGGTGATGGTGCCAATACCCTTTTTGGAAGGATAAATGGTTGGTCAGTAAGAGCATTCAGGATCTTGCACCCAATCTGTATGTTCTAGTACCAAAAAGGAAGGACACGCAAACACACCGTGAAGACTGCTCTTGATGAGATGAAATGGATGAGAAGATATCCAAGGGGAAATACATGCAAGCTTTAATGGAATATCTTGAGCTATGGGATATGCTAGAGGATATAAGTGTACAGAGGGGATCCCCTCGATAGGCATATTTGGAGGCTGTCCGCCTCGTAAATAAATATCTACTAAATCAGCCTATGGTGCACTTTTGAGGAGCCCTCGGTTTACGCCCCATTTGAGCGCATCTCGATCTGAAATCTTGGGCGCCCCCTAAGTGTCGCTTTCTTCATGTGGTGGTTGCTCACAATCGCATTCTTTGGACCGGTGACAGGTTGGCTCAAGAGGTCTTCCTCATCCGGACCATTGTCCGCTATGTGATCAAGAAGAAGAGAACATCCAGCACCTTCTCATTGGGTGTGTGTTTGCAAGACAATTCTGGTATGACATCCTACATAGCATCGGACTGGCAAAGACTAGCCCCTTGATCGAGATGTTTCCTCCTTTGATGATTGGTGGGACAAGGCGGTCTTGACAGATGGCGAAGATGCTTGAAAGGGACTGAATTCCCTCATTATCCTAGGAGCTCGGACCATCTGGAAACATCGAAGCGATTGTGTCTTCAACGGAGCTACCCCTAGATTATCTACAGCTTTGAACCTTGCTAGGGAGGAAGCCCTCCTTTGGTCTTTGGCTGGTGCTAGGGGACTGTCCCCGATACACAGCTCTTGATGTTTAGAGGGTCTCTGGTCATGGTTTTCTTCTCAAGCATAGGTGATTAGTTCCAGTCAGTAAGTGGAGGTGTGTTGGTGTTGTGTTTGTGGGTGTGGGTGTGTTTGGGTCTCTGTATGACTCCTTTCTCTTCTATTAATACAATGATACGCAGCTCTCCTGCGTATTCGAAAAAAAAAAAATTACCGTTTGTAACAAAACTGAAAGAACATTGCAGAGATAATGGAATTTGATGCCATGGAAGAACCACCTGCCGTGTTGGATGCTGAAGTTTTCAATTTCGATGGTCCATTCGATTTGGCTATTTCCCTTGGACATGCTGAAATTAATTTCCTGAAACACACATCAGTAGAACTGGAAGACATATGGGTGCCCCTGGAGGGAAAACTTGCCCAGACATGTCAGAGTCGGTTACATTTGAGAGTATTTCTAGAGAACACAAAAGGACCAGAGACATCAATGAGAGAATACCTGAGTAAGATGGAGAAGGAAGTTGGTAAAAAGGTAACTTCCGATAATTTGTGCTCATGATCCCTTCACGTGTAGTAACCCTCTTGACAGTGTGCCTGCATGTGTTGCAGTTGCATGTTCGGTCACCTCACAGAAATTCAACATTCCAGAAGCTTTTTAATCTGCCAGACGAAGAATTCCTTATAGCAGATTATGCATGCTCCTTGAAAAGAAAGCTGACTTTGCAGGTAAATTCTCTACAAGTGCTGGGTTTTACCGTCAAGGTTGGCTTTATGAACTCTGCAAGATCAGCATTTTACTAGAAGCACAGAATAATTAGTTGATGATGCGATGGACCATAGCTACTGCCCTGTGCTCTTTGGACAACTAAAACATGACATCTCACACAAGTAGTTTATTTGTTAGTTTTCATGTCATACACTCATACAGTCATACTTGTGTATGAATGCTCACTTTGTAATTGTAAATTGTAATTGGTTGCTGCTGTTTGTGTCCGCCAGAATAGTTGGTTTCTATGCTAATTTGTTTGGACACAAAACAAAATTCTTCTTTCTGTGGGAAGACGTGGAGGAGATCGAAGTGCTACAGCCATCTTTCACAACCGTAGGCACCCCATCGCTACTGTTTATTCTGAAGAGTGGCCGGGGACTCGACGCAAAGAGTGGTGCAAAGTCCCAAGACAAGGAAGGGAGACTGAAGTTTCAGTTCCACTCTTTTGCATCGTTCAGCAAGGCTAGCAGGTGGTCATCTCTCAATTGTTTGTTTAGCCATCAGTATCAGTACTGGGACGCCCTGGCCGATGAAAAAACTGTGTATTTTTTCTTGTCTATCACAGGACAATAATTGGTCTGTGGAAAACGAAATCGTCGGCCATTGAACAGAGGTCCAAACTGGAAGAAGATCGTGAAGAAGATGCGAGCTCCGTTGATCTTGATGCTGTTCAAGCTGTGTTGAGCATTGGAGACGTGCCTCTCTCGAAGGAGTGTACTTTGGAACATCCGATTGACGTACGTGAGATCTTTATGCTTATTTGACTGCCTCTTTTGCTGACAGGATTTTATCAGTTTTGGTTTGGCTTAGCCTGCGCGTCATCAGTTGAAATGCTCCTCTTACCATACATAGGACAGCTGTTGCTTTCACTAACGTAACTACGCCAGATAATGAGATAGACAATGTAAAAGCAGAATCGAATTCAGTTGTCAGCATGCGGCTATGTATATGTGCTTCCGAAAACCTGAACCTTGGGTTATCGCAGGCTGATCTGCTCATGGGTGTGTTCGACGGGGGAGCCCTGGAGACGCGGACGATGAGCCGGGTCGGTTGCCTCGACTACTCCGCCACCCCGTGGGACGCCGTGAGGCCGGGCGTCCTGGAGCGGCACGTCAGCTACAAGTTCAACCGGTACATGTCCATCTTCGGCGGCGAGGTGGTCAGCACCCAGCTCAAGTTCCCGGCGGAGGACGGCGGTGGGTGGACCATACACGATGTCATCACGCTCCACAACGTCCCCTTCGGTGACTACTTCCGGGTACGCGCGCGCGCCATTGTTGATTCCATGTTAGAAGAGATCGGCGAGCGAGCACGTACGTGGGACAGTGATGTGACTAGCTGTGCGCACAGGTCCATCTGAGGTACAACGTGCAGAGCGCCACGTCTGAGGCGCCGAGCAGCCGGTGCGAGATACTGGCCGGCATCGTGTGGCTCAAGAGCAGCAAGTTCCAGAAGAGGATCGCCAGGAACATCTGCGAGAAGCTGGCGCACAGGGCCAAGGAGGTGCTCGAAGTGGCCGGGAAGGAGATAGCCTCGGCTGTGTCAGTCTAGGCTAGGGGTTGCGGGTTGCCTAGGAGACTACTCCAAGATGGAGGAGCTGCCGTCCTCCGGTTGTCCGGCAGCCGGCAGCCGGCAGGACCATAGAAATCTCTTCAGTTCTTTGTCACTTCTCACTGTTTTTTCGCTCAATAATAGTTACTGTAACACTTAACAGGAAAAGTCCCACGAGAAATAGTCAGATCTCAAATAGAACGGAGAAGAGAGGTACTGTAACGAGTGCCAATAGTTTTCTTCCGATGAAATGAAACTACAAGAGGGTGTTTGATCAGGGACTAAAGTTTAGTAGGTACACATCAGGTATTTAGATACTAATTAGAAAGACCAAACATGAACCTAATTAGGCTTAATAGATTCGTCTCATAAATTAGTCTCAATTTATACAATTAGTTTTGTAATTAGTCTACGTTCAATACTCTAAATTAGTGTCCAAATATTTGATGTGACAGAGACTAAATTTTAATAGGCAGAAGCAAACATGCTTGACCGTCTTGGTAGGTCAACAGCAGAGTTCTTTACGGTAGGTTAAGTGAAGAAATTAAATAAGAATGGTAGATAATAAATAGCCATTTTTCTTTCTCAATATTTTTTAATTACAAAATTATTTACAACTAGAGATTAAAGTATGTGGGTACATAACATAGACAAAGATATCTGATAAAAAATAATATAGTTAACAATAAATATTTAATAATTAAATGGGGCTTAAGCGTTTCTACCCCTGTATTAAAACGAAATGGTGATTTTGCCCTTGTTTTTTTTTAACTTTGTGACTTTACCCCTACGATTTCAAAACAAAGATAGACTTTACCCCTGCTCTGTAAAATCTCTCTAATGGTGTTAACTTTTGGACCAGATGACGACTTTGCCCATACGTTTTTACCCCTGTTTTATTTAGAATATGAATATTTGTGTTTTTACCCCTATTCTAATTACACATACATGGCAACACACTACAAGCTCTGTTCTCCGAAGTGCGACAGATACAATACAAGCAGATGACAGATAGCAGCAGGTACAAACAGATAGGGTGATGTTCAGATGACAGAAAACAAAATGATAGATAAACATGAAAATCACAGAGAGATGTTTGTCCTCTGTAGTTTATACAGTCTATTAGAACAACACAAAGAACTGTTGATATTGCAAGAACTAAATTATCCTGCACATAATAAAGATTATAATGATCAAGAAACTTGAGTTATATTTTCTATGACTGAATAAGCAGCATCTCACAAGATAATTCAATTCAATTCAATACTTAAACCTACTGCTGAACAGGTTTCCAATAGGCTTCAAAGTTCAGAATTATATTTTAGAGACTACACATTTTAGAGAGCAGGGCATGGTAAAACACTGAGTAAGTAAACTGAAATTCTTCTCCTATATAAAAACTGAAATTCTTCTCCTATATAAACACCTGAGTAAGTAAACTGAAGTTCTTCTCCTATATGAATTTTTCCCATCGACAACCAAATCAGGCAGGTCCTAATCCGCCTACAGCTCAAGCTTCCCCTTCTCTTCTAAATCTGCTTCTCAGGACATGACAAGCGCACGGCACACAGCCACCAACCCTGCGCAGCTCCGCCGGAGAAACCAAATCAAGCAAGAAGCTCGATTCAGCCATGGGAAAGCTTCTGCTGGAGGAGAACGGGGCGCTCTTCGGCTGCTAGGGCCTAGGGGAAGCAGGGCCGCGCGCCCTCTACTGCGGGGGTGGGGAGGCAGGGGCGGGGGTGGCCGCCGCTGCCTGCCGGGGGGAGCCGCGATGAGGGCTAGCCGCCGCCCGCCCGCCCGCCCGCCCGCTCGGGCCGGGAGCGCGCGTGCCCGCAAGGCCCGCCTTCTGCTTCTGCTCGGTCGTGAGGGGGAGGATGCGGAGAGGGAGGGAGGGGAGGCACGGGACCAGGCGCCGGGTGGAGCGCCGCCCAAAGGACGCCGGCGAGAGCGGCCACCAAACCCTAGTCGCGTGCTCCAGCCGTCGAGCAGAAGGGACTGGAGGAAACAATGCGAGGGGTATGCCTGTCTTTTGGTGTGGGTGCTTTTTCTTTTTTTTCCTTTTTTTTACCATTTAATTCACTCAGTGCTCACGGTGTTAGGGTAAACGGCTGTTTCATTTGAAAACATCAGAGGTAAAATCATAAAGTTAAAATAGTGGAGACAAAATCACCATTGGAGTTTGGAGTAGGGAAAGAAACACCAAATTCTCTAATTAAATATATCAATTAACCAATCATATTTTATATAATATTTTTCATGAAGTTATAAATTATATAAAACAATTTACACAAATAAATTAATTAATTAAAGTATTAAAGTAATTTAGTACAAAAAATATATTCGATTTAAACTAAATTAGAAAAATACTAAAAAAATCTGGACCTGTGAGGGTATGACCACCCCCGGCATTGCATTAAGAAACTATGAGAATGGGCCGGTCCTTAGACCTGTCCTTTGGTGTGGGACAGACAAGGTGATTTTTTTAACCCCAGGCTAAAATTCGCTCCCACGGGGAGTTGAACCCAAGGACCTGAGGAGTGCCGCCGGGACACTCTAACTAGTTGGACTAAACTTAATCTTTATGTATCATTAAAATATTAAATTAATATTAAAAGTTATTATAGATATACTGTTAAATAGTTTCAATGCATCACTAAAAATATTAAAATTAAACAATTAGTCACTAGTGATGAGACAAAACTTTTAAATAGATTTTTTATACCTTTGTTCTTCGCGGATACAAATAAATGTCAGATATTCCATGGTTTTATTAATAGGGATCTAAAATCGAATAGAGAAAAATAATGAAAAACGAATTCAGATACATCTATTTAGCATTCATTAGAAATAGATACAAACATAGATATTCATATTACAAGTTTTAGAGGATATAAAATATCGAATAATTCGGACATCTATTTTCATTTTCCAGTCTTACCTAGGATGCATTTAGTAACTTGAAAAAAAGTACGTTCCGTATAGGGGGCTTGAGTTTTTTCCTTGGCTGAAGCCAAAGTAGAGCAGGGGCTATCAAGCTTTAAAAAGAGTCAGTATATAGCTGTCGGCAAATCACTCGCTCTCACAGTGACAACTGTACTGATTACTCCTGGCCTGGCCTGTGAAAAGGAAAGAAGAGGTGGGGGAGCGTGGTTTGGTGGCCTGTACTCCACTGATTTGCAGCAGCGGATGCCGGCGCCGCTGCTCTCCCCTTCCGTCTCCGTGCTCCTCTCGCTCCACATGGCGCTGCTGCTGATCCTCTGCTCCAGCCTGGTACCTGCCCCTCTTTCCCTCCTATCATAATTAGCCCGCTTGCGGTCCGATTCTTGCTACGGTGTTCGACACTTCCTGGATGTATATACCTGGCTGCCTGTAAGTATGTGGATCAAAATTTTGTCCGGATCTGGCCTCAGTTCTTGCTACAGTTCTGTTGATTCTAAAATTGCCTTCCGAGTAGTTAATCTGGGTGCATAACTCGTGCTCTCGGAGCCAGAGTTCACTTCAACGCTGGGTGTCAATGAACGAATGATTCTGTTGGTTATCGTTTGCTGGGTGTCAATGAACTAATGATTCGGTTGGTTATCGTTTGCAGGTAGGGGATTCCTGCTCCTCCGTGAGCGACTGCGGCACGGGCCTCTACTGCGGCAACTGCCCCGCCGCAGGCAGGACCAAGCTCTCCTGCATCAGGGACCTAGCCATCCAGCCCACCTCCATTGTAGTGCACTGCATTCCCCTCTTGTAATTTCCCCAGGTGAAGGGGCTGCCTTCAACAGGTACTCATGGCTCGTCACCCACAATTCCTTTTCCATCCTCGGGGAGCCGTCGTGCACTGGGGTTGAGAGGGTCACGTTCTACAACCAGGAGGACTCCGTCACCAACCACTTGAGGGTAGGTTCTGGATCCATGACCAAATTATTCCTCGGGCCACTCTGTTTATTTCAGGTGTGTCATCAAGCAATTCATAATGGTGTTGTTCGCAGAATGGTGTCAGGGGATTGATGCTTGATATGTATGACTTCAACGATGATGTATGGCTCTGCCACTCCCTGCTAGGGCAATGCTATAACTTCACCGCTTTCGTAAGTTTATTCTTTGCAGATACTTACCAGTTTATGGCCTATCCCAGAATTTGGTAGGCTATCTTGAATGCAATGTAGGTATATTATTCTGTAACTATATGTTTGAGCTCGAAGCTCCCAAATTTTTATGATAGCACCTCCTCCAGACCTCAACTGGTGTGAATAAATGTAGCAAACCATAGTTTATTTCTTGGTTCCTAAATTTATCCGAAACTTCAAGAGATGTTACATGGGCTCCGAAATGCCCCAAACTAAGATATTCAACTTAAATATAATGTTAGGTACCAGCAGTTGAAAAAGAGGTGGAAGCATTTCTCTCCGAGAATCCCACAGAGATCATAACAATATTTATTGAGGATTATGTTCAATCACCGATGGGACTGAGCAAGGTCTTTACTGCTGCTGACTTGATGAAGTATTGGTATCCCATCTCGGAAATGCCAACTGGTGGCAAGGACTGGCCAAGTGTCACCGATATGTTTGCAAAAAACCGCAGGTTGCTGGTGTTTACTTCTGATGCTTTAAAGGAGGCTAGTGAAGGAATTGCTTACCAATGGAGCTACTTGGTAGAGAATGAATGTAAGTACCAAATCATTTTTAAATTCTCTCTCAGCCCATGTACCAAATCATTTTTAACCCAGTTCTATGTAAATTCACTCTCACGGTGAGTCAAACCCAGCGAGGTGCTACTAACGCTCCTGTGACCACTAGGCTATAGACCTGTTCACAGGCTGTGAGATTCTTATATAATCATTGGTTTAATCTGGGCACATAATTTAGAGCGAAAACAGTTCAAGAAATGTTGTAGTTCACTATTTGTTACTCTTCACATTTGAGAATTTTCTTTTTATGATCTTCTTTCTTCACCTGTTGTGAGTTAAGGATTTAAGGAATGCAAGTTATGGTAACTGAGGCAGTATAGGATCAGCTTTGCTTGAAATCTTTTGACTGGTAATCATGTTATGCACACTAGTAATAGAAATATCTTATGGCTTAAGAAGAGAATAAATTAAGTAGTAAGTGTCCTTCCACAAACTTCACATGATAAAATTTGATTAAAAATAGCTGTAAATTTGTTTTGACACCAGGAGTTTGGTTTATGACTTTTGTTTATTGCAAGACAAGCTTCAAGGTTAGAATTTGCATTCCTAACAAAGAGGTTATATTATGCCTCAGATTGACCTGGTGGCCATCTATAATTGCCATATGAAAAATGAAGTGGTAATTACCCTGGTAACTATTACCCAACTATAATGCATCCACTATTGACTTTGTTGCCTACCATACACCAAGGACAAACATAAGAGTTTCTTCTGTATCCAAATTCATATTTCATTTCTCATAATCATGGCAGCTGGAGATCCAGGGATTGTGCCTGGTTCTTGTCCAAACAGGAAGGAATCACAGCCACTGAACTCAAGGTCTGCATCTCTATTTCTGCAAAATTACTTCCCCACGATGCCTGTGCAGAATGAAGCATGTAAAGAGAATTCTGGGCTACCACAAATGGCCCAAGCTTGTTATGCTGCAGCTGGAAATAGAATCCCGAACTTCATAGCTGTGAATTTCTACATGTTTTTTTTTGAAACAATGGCAGGAGCTCTGCTTTTCAATTAAAACGAATGAAGTTTATATACAAGCAAAGGTAACCAAGCGTGGTGCCAAACACCGCGAAAGGTTAGCCCACCCACGCAACGCGGTAGAGTACACACTACCATGAGTCATCGTTGCGGCGTGGTACGCAAAGCGACCAGCAGCTCCGACTTCCCATGGCAAAACACCGACGACCCATCCTAAGATGACGTACCAACGGGCCCGGCGGGTGAAGTCGCAACAGTCATCGCTGCCGAGCTCAACGGCTCCGCGAAGAACAGCTCCGACTTCTGCCTTGATCCCACGCCGCCTGCAAGCGCGGTGCCAAGCCGCTAAAGTCAAAAACCTAGCCGTCGGAGAAGGAGGGTTCGACCAGCGTCATCGTTGCCGAGAGCTACATCCCCCGATGCGGCAGCCTCGACTTCCGATGCGAACTTGCCGTCTCGCGTCAACCGGGCGCCAAGAGGCGAGGACAACCGCCGAAGGAGACATCATGGCCGAGACGAATTTCCACAGCGATGCCTTCAGGAAGGGTACGACACAGATAGCGTTGTCGTCGCATGTCCAGGAATGGACCGGGTTTCCACCCGTGGAAGACATGGCTGGGGGCACAAGAACACGATGCCCCCAACAAGGAAAATGGCGCCCACAAGTGTCGCCGTCGCCAAGGCTTTTGCCGAGGTGCCCCTATCACAAACGCCGAGCCAAGATGCCGCATCCGTAGCACTGCCGCCACCGTCGTCGCCACCGCCATCCCGCAGAAGCCCTCCGGAGGGGCATCGACGCCATGGCCGCTCACAAAGACCCGCTTGCAATGCGTCGGTTGCCACCACCCCTCCGACCGGGCAACATGCGAGGTGGACTTACCTCCACACGCTGCGTCACCGCCAAGCCGCGCCGGTTGCCGACGCTGCCGACCTCCGCCACCACCGACAAAGCGTGTTGCCACCCGGCGCCGCCCCCGCCTGGGGCACAGGATCTAGCCATCGGTAGCGGCAAACCCGATGACCGGTGGCGCCGCCACCTCCACGCCAAGGCCGAGGAGGAAAGGGGGAAGCGGAGGAGGAAGAAAGGGCCCCCGCCACCGCCCGGCGCCTACACGGGCACTGGCCAGCGCCGCAGCCGCAGCAGGCGGCCTCGCCGAGCCCCACGCGGCTCGTGCGAGGGCACGCCCCGCTGCCCCGCCACTGCGCACGCCGCCACCAAGCGCGAGGAAGAGGAAGAAGCCCGGCCCTGGGCGACGCAGCCGCCACCATGGGCGCTCTTGGAGGAGCCGCCGCCACCGCCGCCAATACATGGCGCCCAGCGCGCTCCGCCGGAGATCCGCGCGAATCCGGCCGACGGACCGCCGGATCCGGACGCCGAAGCGAGGAGGCTGGCCGCTGGAGACGCCGGCGCCACCCCCTGCCCCAACGACCACGCCGAGCCCCAGGACGCGAGCCCGTCCCTGACCGTCGCAGCCACCACCGCGAAGAAGAGCCTCGCCGCCGCCCTCACGGCAAGCTGCACGGCCATGCCGGAGGCCTGCTCCGGCGACGGCGCGGCTGGAGAGAGGGAGGGAAGGGAGAGAGGCGGCTAGGGTTTGGGTCGCCTCCCGTGTCGCCTGCGTGGGGCGACGCGGGGGCTGGGGAGATTTTTTTCAGTTATGAGTAATATTTGATTCCCACAGTTACAAACAAGATACCCTTTGTTGTATGGAATAGAAATTTTCTTACTGTGATATGTGCAGTGAAGCGATGGTGGTGGTGTTTTTGATGTTCAAGACAGAATCAATGGCCGCACCTTATGTGGTTGTGACACCATTGCTGCTTGCCAGGTAATTGCAAAGCGCTTTTTAACTCTTAATGCTCGGACACTTTTTGTCCCTTTTGAGTTAGCATGCTATTTGTTTTCTATGATTATTAGCACCAGGGCTGACTTGTTCGAGAAGACCGTCGAACATTCTCTTTTGGAGCATACGAATTCTATCATCTTTTTTTTCCATATTGGTGATTTTTGTTGAATATCTGCAGGCTGGGGCACCAATGGTTGCATGCCAGGACACTGGGGCACCAAATCAGACTACGTCGTCCTCTTCCTCTGTAAATGGAAATGTCTATTCAGGAACTATAGAATTCAAGACACATTCCACTAGTTGGCCTGTTCGGCCGGCCGGCTGGCTGGCTGGCTGGCAAGCCCACTCACAAAATCACTGTTCACGTGAATAGTGATTTTAGACAGAACATTATTTCCTCTCACAACAATCAGCCGGAACAGTATTTTGGTTTATTTTTTTAGTCCTGCCGAACAGGCCAAGTGCTGCCAGGAATACCTCCATCTAGGGTACTTTTGTTTTTCTGCAAAGGCTGCAGTTGACTTTACTGCTTTTCTTATCTTTCAGGCTTTAGTTTTTATATTTCGACGTTTTTTTTCTCTTACTATATTAAAGATATGGGCACGCCGAATCGGCGGCCTCTCAGGGTGTCCACGTACGCTCTTTTTATTTAGTGTGTTAGATAGAGATTCCACGGCTCAGATGAGACGCGTCACAGTCATCCTTCATGCATCCCCTCTGTACTACCGTCAGTTAAAAACTAGTCGGATAGATGAACGCAATTAATGCCTCTCCTCTTTACCCATCGACCATGCTGGTACGCTCGGCACGGGATGGGCCACCAACCATGCACCGACCGGCATGGCTCCACCGTGGTCCTCATGTAAAATGGTGCTCATTCCTCTTTCTCTCTCGTGTAAATGCCAGGCGGCAGCAGCTTCGCTCCTCCCCTCCTCTCTCTCTCCTCTCCGCGCTCTCGCTCTCTCCCTCGCTTCACGTCATGACATCGAGGCTCGAGGCTTCCCGCAAGACTGCGTGCTGCGTGTGTGTCCCCCGCTGCGGCGCCATGGTGCATCGTCCAACGCCGGTGGGCGTGGCCACGTCCGAAACCCCTCGCTCTCCCCGGCCGCCTCGTCCCGCCGGTCGCGCTGTGCTCGATTTAAACCCTAGTCGCCTCTTCCTCGTTGTCGGCGGCGGCATCGACGAAACTTCGGCGCCTAGATTTGGCGGTACCTCACCCTCTTCTTCTCCTACCCGATCGGGGCCGCCCGGAGGCGGCGGCGGCATGCCCTCTTCTTCTCCTCCCCGGCCAAGGCGGCTCTGAACACCCGCCTTCTGTTGGCCCCCTCTTCCTCCCCACCTTCCTCTCTTCTCCCCTTCACCCCTTTCTCGGCTTTTCTCTCTCTCCCGCCCTCGACTCCTGCCTGAATTCGAGATCCCGGAGGCGGCTTCCCAAGGGCTCCTCGCTCTGCTTTCGCTAGATCAAACCATCGTGCTCTCGGCAGAAACCCCCAAAACCCAGCCGACCAAGCCCTGTTCGCCGTGGCGCGGTGGCTGCCGGGCCAGATCCGCAACGACACCGCTTCGCCTATCACGAGGTACAGAGAGGTCGAAATGAACCCCTCGGATCTGCTTTCGCTTAGGCGCATCCTCTCCGATGTATTGCCGCCGATTTCTTTGAAAATGGCATGGTCGCCGTAGGTGGATGCTCTCGTGATCTCTCGGAGGCGCATGGATCGGCGGCATCTCGGCGGGCGGCGTGCGTGGCGCGAATGCTACCCGCCGAGATGCGCTGAACAGGTGGTGGAATGCAGCGTTTGCCGCTCCCGGGTGGTGGTGCCGAGCCCTCGAGCGTGTCCGTGGCATACGACAAGCACCGCAGCAAGATGCCGCCCAAGTTCCGCGCGACTCAACGCCTTCCTCGTCGTCGGTGGCGCATCCTTGTTGGTCTCCGGTGTGTGTGCGTGCCTAAACGCTTCATTTTCGGTCCAAGCGCGGGAGACCTTTGCACGATCGGTGTTTGAGTGAAATGGCCTCACGGATTTGGTACAAAAGTAATGCTTTTACTAGTGCTGATGCCTCGCATGCTTGACATGGCCCTTTGCTGTAGTGTTACGTTCACCGAATAGCAAATGATTGGCCTTGGGGCGTTATGCTAATGTTTGACTTGGTTTATGCAACCCATCCTAGTGTTCATGTCAAAGGTTGATGGGAAGTTTCAGCTCAGTCCCGTCGGTGTTAACTTTCGGCGGAGGTTATGAAAGGCATCTTTGCTATTGTGATGCTCATAATTCAGGTTTGTTCTTGTTACTTGCTTGTCGATGTTTTCCCTTTGCAAGCATTCTCGACTCGAGGTGACTTTAGAGATGAAGAGTGATCCATTTTATGCGTGAGCTATTTTCACATGTTAGTCCGATAACATCTATGATCTCCTAATAAGCAAATTTCAACGAGAACTCTTATGATCTTTCAAAAAAATTGAGAACTCTTATGATTTGTGGTTTTGGAGTAAGGATCAGAGGACTAAGTGTTTACACGCAAAAGGAAATGGGAAAAAAGGGTTTGTCGAACAAAACATGAAGCCATCTTTCCTAGCAGTTAATGCCTTCTAAAATGTGGAGTGGCACTCTTGCTTGGTCAGTCCAAGTAAGCTGTTTTCCGTGTGTGCAGATTAGCTTAGGATTTTGTTAGTATTCCTCCACACTGCGGATTTTCATGGTGTCTAGTGGATGTACCGAATTACAATTACTCTGCAGTGTTTTCTCTTTAGTTTGTAGTAAGTAGTATTATGTTCATAACTTCTTATCTGTTAACCTTTTTTTGCTTTGTTGTTCCAATGTGACAGTCTAGAAAGCAACAGGTTGGAGAAAAGCCACTTTTGGCACGTTCAACCTTCATACAGGTGATTTATCTACCACAAGATATATTGTACTTTGATATGTACTGTTGCTCTGTATTTAATTTTTGCTACATTGTCTGATTATTTGGAAGGGCAGGCCTGGTGCAGTGGTGAGAGCTGTCTCACTGAGTCACCAGGTCGTGGGTTCGAAGTACTGGGTCTCCGGCTTACCTCGGTTTTTCCCTTCCCTAGACCCCACTCATGTATGAGCCTCCGGCACTGGGTCTGCCCTACATTGTCTGATTATTTGATCATTCACTATTTGGTTTTGTAGGCAGCCTATAATTTTGTATGGTGGTACCCTCATGCTTAACAAGTTGTACCAACAAAAAAGATATGCATAACGAACTGCATAGCTCATAAAAGCTGACTGATTTTGTGTAGAACATTAGAATTTAAAGTATTTACTAATGGTTAGTAGGGGGGCGGGGGGAATGTGAATGTCCCTTTCCGTGAGGCAAACACGATATGTATGTTGTCTGCCTTATGTTTATGATGATTACATTGTCCTGTCTTTTTGCAGGGCCAGAAAGTTTTAATATTCTTCGAGGGCATTCAAGGGCTACAACGTTTCTCATATATAACAATGCTGCACAAGACATTCTATCTTCATTCTTCTTTAAGTATGCAGGTAATGTTTTTTGATATTTGCTCTTTATTATTATTGCAGTTATCACATCTATTGTCTAACTGAAATACACTGCAGACACAATTTTAAAGAAGTATTCGTCAACTGTTGCCACAATATTTACTATCCTGGCTTCTGCTGCATTCTTGGGGCATACCTTGACCATTAATTTTCTCCTGGGCATATCAGTGGTGTTTATTTCAATGCACCAGGTAAACTGACCTTTTTATTACTTTTTTTGTTGAACAACCATTGTTGTATTTCATGTATCTTTCAGTCATTTCTCCTTAGTTCTTCTCTCCACTTGCTAAAGTCAAAGATGACAAACCAGCTGACTTAATAGAGTTGGAAGATACCCAAAATCACCGGTAAGTTTTTATCTCGCTTCAAATGGTATTAACAAATTACTCCAATACTTGATTTAGGTTTCACTTAGCATTGGCCTTTGAAGAAGTGTTGTTTTGCATTGTGTCCATGATCTCCATCTAGACTTTTATAGCTTTGGCATGTGCTTTGGGATGCCTGTTAATGTTGTTGTAGAAATAGCAGGCTGTTTATTAAGTTTCTTTTGACATGTGGCCTCATGTGGTGCATATTTTTCACAGGTCATCTGAATCTTCTTTTGTAAATATGACTGCTGGTGCCGCTGATGATGTGAGTATCTCAGTTTCCATTTTAGAATAGATGTGTCATTTTAGAGGCTACATCTAATTTGGCTTTCATTTCAGGCGAGCCATCGGATTGGAACTGATGAGAGGCAACCGCTGTTGCCTACATGAACTAGTTTCTTGAGGTATACATAGATTCTTGTAGCCATATTTCTACTGTGTTGCCCAGTTAACAGTTTGACATGGTAAATAACTATATGCACGTAGTTTGCCAATTCAGTAAGGTGTATGATTATAGATATTTTACACAAGATAAATCGTGATTTTTTAGTGGATATTTGTCTATGACAGTTCATTTTCTATAGCAATTTACGAAAACGTATTGTTGCAAATTGATGGTAGAGGCACCAAATGTTGATCTATAGGCTCACATTGTTTTGGATATATGCTTGAAGATGGAAATAATCTGGTTAGTTGTACCTATTAGCTAGACATAGGTTGGCAGCTGTGGGCTAAAATATAAGATTTTGATTTCCACATGGGTTCTATATTTCTATGTGCAATATACTAAGCGAGACAAGTTTCCTGGAATATTTCTCTCTCTCTCACAAGCAAATGAACACCGGTTCTTTCTGTTCTGCAGGTAGGATAGGAAGACAGCTTTTTTGCTCTATGAGCAGCATATTTCATGTAGCATTGTGAGTTGAATAAACTATTGTACACTGTAAAGCCAAAAGAAAGAAAGAAGTACCAACGTGTTCTCCATTTTTTCCTTTCATTTTTGGAATGAGGCCGATGGCCGGCCATTAGTGGCCCTGGGAGTGACAGAGCAGCATACATTTTGATAGGCATATAATTCAATAGGGATTTTCCAGATACGATACTTGTAACAGAAAATTTCCCTGGAGCTGTATATGAACAACGGCGATGTGATAACCTTTTTTGTATGGAACCTTTTCTTTATACTATTGATTAATTGTTTTACTATTGTTACTACATTGTTACTTGATTCTCCAACTGTGTTCAGTGTTTGACTTTTGCGTAACCACGAAGTCTCTTTGGACATACTGTTGAAATGGGAACATCCATGTAAGCTGAATCTCGATTTTCACGGGAATTCCACCTGCGCTGGGGACGCGAAGCCCCTGCGGTAGAGCAAGTCGCTCATGACACCGTTGTCGCGCTGTGTCAGGTGCACGCCGTCCTAGCTAATGTGCTCGTCGGGCCTCGCGCACACGGACACGCCTGGCGCGCCGCACATCCGGTCCATGTCGAAGTTGTAGGCGCCAGCGCCGCAGCACGCCTCGGTCCACACCCCCTCGTCGAACCCTGCCTTGCCGGCGTACCTTAGCATCCGCACGTATGCGTAGAAGTAGCCGGCGTAGTAGATGGTCGTGGACGGGTAGGACCGGCGCAGCTCTCGGATGCCCTGCTGCAGCAGCGCATTGTGCATAGCGGAGGGTCAGAACGATTTCATGTGAGTAGTTGCAGCACCGTCTCTTCATGGTTGTATGGAGGGACCCTGATTTCAATGCCTTTGGTCTCAAGGTTCAAACATGGTGTCCCTGTTGGCCTGTGCATATTTTGAGTTCATATCAAACATTACTAACCGATTCTTTTGCAGGACCCAATGGCCCAACGAATTGCTATGTTGATGCTGAGTTTCTATATACTCCTTCATATGGTTAGGCCCTTTCACTTCTCACGTTCGTGCTATGAATTTTAGTATTTTGTGTGTGTTAAGGTTGTGATAGAGTCCTAACTGCATGCGGTCCTAATAAATTGGTGGATGAACCAAGCATGGCAAAAATCCAATTGTCTCGAGTACTCCCAAGCGTGGCTGAACCAGGCGTGGCGAGTTGGTGGATGCACCAAGCATCCCGGCTATGGGGCACTCTGACACGAGTACTATTAGAACACATTTACTCAACAAGCATGATGTTTTAGATACAATTGGTCTTAACTTTACAACTGAAATAGTATCCAACATTGAGCATTGAGGTCCCTTTAAACATTTTGCTTCCATATGCTTACTTTTTCCATCATAATATCTTGTAGCGCCCGCATCTACCTGTTGCCCAGGTTAATCAAGGGGTAGCTTCTCCACCAGACGTATCCATGGACACCACCAAACTAACCCAGATTCTTGGTACCAAGCCAATCTCATTTCAAGATGGAGTCAGAAGTACACTTGATGCAGAAGCCCGTACATGACACTTCCTCAACAGTTTGCTTTACTTCCTAGGGAGTTGCTTGCATTCAAATATGAAAGTGTGACGTAGAAAATCACATTTAATTTGTGAAATTTCAGTAACGGTAAATTTCTGTTGGATCTATGTGAAATATGTAACTTTGTACCTACTAGACACCAGTGGCATCATCGGTGTTACTGCCTAACTGTACTGTATCGTTACGAAAAAAATTCCATTCATTTTAAATCGTTTTCCCCCAGCAGTATGTAACTGTATTGTGCATGTATATTACAATTTACAACTAATATTACTATCATGTATTTTTTTAGAGCTTTAGGCCTTTGCCCGTCTTAGCATTAAACAAAGACAATAGCATTCAATTACAGCATTCAGGTGGATCTACTCTCATGTATTCTGTTTGGTTGGTATTTTCAGATTTGTTGCTGCCTAATATTTGGCTTTAATTTCTAACCCTACCTTGGTGAGTTATTTTTCTATATAGTGCATAGCCCTGTATTGGATTGAATAGAAGTGCTGGCTTTGCTACTGCATTACTCTTTCTTTTCTTTTTAATGAAAAGATACGCAGCTCTCCTACGTGCTCGAGAAAGAAATATATGCTCCATCGTGTAAATTGGAAGTTGTATAAATTTAAGTGTAAGTTTGGAAGGTGTATAAGCTCTCAGTGGTCCTAATTGAACATATAACTTTGGTCTGTCCAAATGAGTTTATAATTTAGAGCTTCTCACTATCTGACAAAGAGTACGAAAATAAGCATTGCACAAACCATTGAATAATCGACAGACTCAGGTGGGTTACCAAAACCTTTTGTTTTACATTTGTTTTTTTTACTATTTAGCTTGGATAATTTTTTTTAAGAAAAAGGTTAATACAGATAGGTGATAGGCATGACTAAGTTTGAGACGGCCAATAGAGCATCAGTATAAGTATTTGTCGCTTTTTCAGGTGGAGCAGCATTCTAGGAATCTCAGAGCTACCTTGTGACAAATTCAGGGAATTGTGTATTGTGTAGATATCAGAGACACCAGCACAAAAGAAAATATTAAAATAGTTATTCTGAAACAATGATAAGATTGCATGGGATACACATACATGCTAACAAGTATTATTGGGGGCAGCGAGATTCGAAAACTACCTTCTAGATGAAAAATGACCTTATGAAGAAGCAAAGCCGTGACTTGTACTGATCTTCTGAGATGTTTTCTTTTCCTTATTCCCATTAACCTCAAAGTATGGGAGGACACAGTGGTAGCAGGCATATAACCATACAAATGCATTATCACTGCCATATATATGGTCTAAGTACTACCACCTGAAACGGTTCCACATAGAATGATACCCCACGGTAGAGTGAGTAAAAGTAGAATTGCATATTACAGCCACCATAGTATCCCTCGTAAATGTTAAAGTGCAGCCTGTACGAACTTTATTTAGTTATTACTGACAAGGAACTCACATGGATACCCAACACTGATACTATGCTAGGTACGTAAAAACTTAACCACAATGACAATTGCAAACGACCTCGCATCACAATATAGCTGGTATAGGAATTGCGCCGCTATTTATTTGGTGAATGTAAGAAATAACTTAATTATGCGTAGTCAAGTTGTGGACAGGCCCTATGCCCTCAAAATTTGAATAAATCCGTGAAGCTTGAATATTTATTCAGCTCTTCTTATTTCAACAACTATCTCAGGGCCTCTCGTAGGGTAGCGGGTGCATTACAAGGATATACAATATGATTGATGCCACCATGGTAGGAGTTCGGATAGCAAAGATGGTCATGGTGAGCTCATCTTCATCTAAGCACATCTTGAGAGTGTCGGCTTCTTGCTTCTAACAATGTACTTCGGCTCCTGCTTGATGTTTTCTTCGATAGTCTCCAGCTTGCAGCATTTATCTCAGGCTTCTTAAAATGTTGAAATAGGTTGGCATTTGAATAGGGGGCTTATGCGGGTGATTAGTGTTGAGTGTCTTGTTGTGAAGGGGGAGCTGGGGGGCGTTTTATAGGCAATTGATGGTGGGTTTAGAGGGTGGGTGTGCACCATTATTGGCGGCACTAAGCAGCATCGGGGGCTGAGGGAATCAGGTTTGTGGGGGACAGCAGCGACAGCATCGGGCCAATGGAGGTGACATCACGAGTGGTGTCGTCGGGCGGTGGTGCGACGTGCGGTGGGTGGCGGTGCAAAAGAGACAGCGGTGTGACGCTGAGAGGACAGCACCAGTGTGCGAGAAAAGGAGCGCGGGTGAGTGGCCACTGGCGGTGCGCGTGGCTTTAATTTGCATGCGGTCTTAGGTCAAACATACAACTTGAAAATGAAATCCTACACTATGTTAGTGGGAGGTCTTTAATTTGTGAAAAGCGGCTTTAATTTGTTACCTCCTTTGCGATTCATTTCCAATCATAGCTGGTCTGCTTGCATCTGAACGGTTGCTTTTCTTGTAACCCGTTTGATTTTTGCCTCGAGAACCCTAAGTAAGTCTAACGAGGTCTAAGGGTAAATCGACATAACAAACACAACGGATAGAGCAAAATGCACGTCCAAAACGCCCTTATACGAGTACAACATACATACACTCCCTCTCCCATTCTCGACACATCGTTTGGCTCCTACGGCTTGACGATTCTTAACATCGATGGATGAAATACAATGGAAAGATTACAACACTAGAGGATGGCGATGAAAAGCACTACTAACTACGGGTACATGTCCCCTAGGACAACTCATCTACTTCATCGGACCAAATGGCTTCATTCCTGGACTCGGTTGGTTCTTCTTCTGCACTGGCTAAGGATCTGTTTCCTCTCGTGGTGGTGGCTGAGTGAGGGGAACCAAGGACTCTACTTCTAATACCTCCGAGGGTGGAGGTGGTGGTGGTACTACAACACATGTTCTCCTTCTTTTCCGATGGGTGGATAGGGATTACCTCCAAGACCAAGGGTTCCTGCCTTTCT